TCAGTCAAAAAAAAAGTATCTTCAAATTTCAGCCATAAAAAATAAATGATTAAAAATGTATTATGTGACTTAGACAACATGAGTTGTTGTTTGATACATTTGTCATTTTGTGTTTTTAAACGTTTTAACATGGGAGTATGAAATCAAAGTATAAGGTCACATATGTCATCACATTCACAATTTACTAGGTACTTTAGGTTTGTTTGACTGGATTCGCTTCTGGACGAGGAGGATATCATGTACGTTCTCTGACATTTTTACATTCAAGGTTAAAGTTCATATTCTGGTTCACTCTCACTTTCACTTCCACTTTCACTGTCACTTTCACTTTCATCAATTCCTTTTCTCATTTGCTGCCACTCCAATGCTTTAATTGATAACAGTGTTCCCAGATGTTATAGATTCTACAGCAGTTGCAGTTACCTTCTCCATCACCTGTGTTGGTCAGGCAGCTGAATGTGCTAGACTCTCTATGCCTATGAAGAAGGTACTTTTTAACTTTTACAACTCTTTTATGTCACATTTACAATTATTTGTTAAAATATAGTATTAACTATAGCCCCCCAAATATTCAAATTATCATGTGAAATATAACTTTCACATAATTTGTACCCAACTCTGCTGTTACTCAGACAGCAGTAGTAGTACTAGCTTAGATAGCAAACTGTGTGTCACGTGTGTAACCCCAGTGATGTGCTGTAATCGTGTGCTAACCTCTCCAGAACATATTGAGTTTTCAGACAAACTTGATTGAAATAAGTATATTATCTGAACCCCTTGTTAAACTTGACCAGCTAAACCAGCAGATTCTAATTTGTGATAAGAAGCTGCTAATAGTATGTATAATTAAACAATGATGCTGAATGAGATCAAGATATAACTTCTATGTTCCTTATTAGAGATTGTGAGATAACAGATGAGCAGTTTAACTTACTGCTTGCTATTGTTATACGTCAGTGTTGAGCTTGCTATCTAAATGGGAAACTTTATATATCAGGAGTTTTAAATAATAATACATGTAGAAACTTAGTAGAAATGTTGTATTTCTCGACGAAATACACTAAAATACACAGTATGGAGTGTGGAATGAGAAGTACAAGAGCTTTACAGTGGACAGTGGACAGTGCAGACTCTTAATCAACAATATAACAAATCCCACGGTCTGAATATGATTAGCCAACAAGGAAACAAGTGAAACTAGTGAAACTAGCGAAACTAGCGGAACAAGTGAAACTAGTGGAATAAATGAAACTAGTGGAATAAATGAAACTAGTGGAACAAGTGAAACTAGTGGAACAAGTGAAATGAGTAAAAGTATTATATAATATGTAGATTGTAGAGTTAAATACTAAAGTGAGTATGATGTTTTCAGTACGATGAGGCACTGTATGGAGAGTTCGAGGAGGAGGAGGTAATCTGAGTGATTTATAAAGGAGCAGTGATTTAGTGTGTGATTAAGTGATATATTGTGTGATTTAGTGTGTGATAAAGGGATATATTGTGTGATTAAATGATATATTGTGTGATTTAGTGTGTGCAGTGTGGAGTGCGAAATACCCGTTGTTTGTTAAGTGTGTGAGATTTGTCTGGTGAACTATTCAGTTGTGGGATTTATCGCTAAATAGCGAGGTTCAACTTTTACAAAAAAAGGGATTCAGTGCGTATTAGGTATTATTTTATTATTATAACTTTTGAATGTATTTTCTGATTTAGTGAGGTTATTGTTGGGAGCTACCAGTTTCTTGTGAGGATATGAAGAGAGGGTGATTGTGAGACGTGTTACCATGGTTACCGTGTTACAGTGAGACATGTAACCATGGTTACCGTGTTACAGTGAGACGTGTTACCATGGTTACCGTGTTACAGTGAGACATGTAACCATGGTTACCGTGTTACAGTGAGACGTGTTACCATGGTTACCGTGTTACAGTGAGACATGTTACCATGGTTACCGTGTTACAGTGAGACATGTTACCATGGTTACCGTAATACAGTGAGACATGTTACCATGGTTACCGTAATACAGTGAGACATAAATCATTTGGGGAACTTAAAAACACCAAATTAGGGGGTGACACTAGTTACACTAGCTGAGATATATCAGAACTATCCAGCTTTCAGCGGACCTCGTCGTCACAGCACCACAACTGTTACAATGCCCATATTTGGTGATCTTGACAACACTGAGGTCACAGTGAAACACAAGGTACTGCTAGATGGCATGTACATCAAATGTCTCGTAATTGCACGTTATAACAAATCAATTTAATTTGAGATGTCCCAATTTGGTGCAATGTACGTTACTTGTAATTAATATCACTTAATGCTGAACCTTAATATTATGTACATATTCTCCCTAAAATACATCCCCAGGATTTATTCTCCAGCAAAAATATATTTTCTGCTGTTAATGATTGGCACGTATTATGAGACATGTTAACATGGTTTCCGTAATGTTCGTTTTTTTGAACATAATTTTATTAATAACAGAAATTAATCAGACTGGTAGCTGATAAGTAAAGTAAAGAATCTTGTGAAGGTAAAAGGAGTGAAAATTTGCTGCATGAAATTTTACAATTACCCTAATTATTACTAATTATTATTAATATAATTAATATTACTAATTATTACTATACTTGTGTTACTAAATGTTACACTGACTTGTTTTTAGTGCCTGGCAATAAAACCTTCTTGTTTGTGTGACTGCATCTTTCTCTGTCTGGAAAATAGTTTTATATTATGTTGAATGAGGATCTCTTCTTATTCTTTGACGATATAAATTAATATTCTAGATGAAATGTCTGCTGACAGAAAATATCCTAAATATTTAACATTAACGTGTCAAAGTATGCTGAGTGCTGACACTCTATACTCAACTCTGAACACTGTCACAGTGTAATGTATAGCACAGGGAGTACAGCTAGCACAGGGAGTACAGCTAGTACAGGGAGTATAGGGAGTATAGAGTATGTAAAATGTAGAGAGGATAATGTACAGAGGATAATGTAGAGAGGATAATGTAGATGTTCATTAAGGCCACAGGGGGGGGGGGGTCCGAGGTCGATTTTGAGATTTTGAGATATGTTGTAGAGCTCGATCTAAATTTTCAAATGCTTTTGTCCTTACCGAAAACAAAGTTTCCTATTTGAAGATATCGCGCGTTGAATTTTGAGGTTTACCTGTAATTCTATTGTAAATGAAAACTTTAAATGAAATCGTGTTCAAAATCTATCTTCTTTTTCAGTTTATGACTTAGAACCTTGTAACTTGGCAACAATGTTCTTCAATGTATTTTGAGTTTTTGTTATGTAACGATTTATGATATCTTGCTCCAAAGCTGAGATATGAGGTTAACCATGAGTGCGGGTTACAAAATTTAAAATGGTTAACCTCATAAAAAGAGTTAGGAACAAAATTACAACAATCGTTACATAACAAACTTTTAAATTTATGTCAGGAACATAAGTTCCAAATTTGAGGTGAAATGGATAAAAACTCTAGGAGAAGATAGATTTTGAAGTCAAAAATTCGAGGTTTTCAGGAGAGGCAAAAAACTGTTTTTTATGTTATGTGATTTTTGAGTATTTTGCCTTTATTTGTATATTTTTCAAAGTTTAACTGCTGAAATAACACAAAAACAATAAAAACAAAGCTTATCGTAGTTTTCAGTTGTAATGGCATCAATATTTCTGCCCTCCATTATCGATTTATCAAAAAAATGAGGTTATTTGAAGAATTGGTTAACCTCATTTATAAAAAAAAGTAAAATAGCTACAGACAAATGAGTGGTGGCAAAGTATCCACCACAAAAATATATATTGATTCAAAGCATAATTTTTTTTTGCATTTTTTGAAGCCTCGACCCCCCCCCTGTGGCCTTAAATGTCACTACCTACATCTGAAGGGTATATTAAACTACATTCCTGCTGACTGGTGGACACTAATTCTTGTATCCTGGAAATAACTTCAGCTCTGGTAGTGTGGCAACATGTTACCATGGTAACTTCCGCTCAATACTAACCACTTATTATACATTTGTAGTAGTCAAGCAGCAATTATATTATTTAATTGAAAACATTCATTTTGTATCTGAGCTGGGTACACAGAGAGGGATTCTGCAAGAATGAGGGTATAACCAAATGTTACTTCTCCAGCATTCCTAATAAAATAAGACAGCTGCTAGACCTGAACTAGAATCAAGTTTTAAGATATGTCCGCTTCTCCCCACCCAGTTGAAGGGAATGTGTGTGTCTAGATGCTAACTAGATGAGCTAACTTTTACTGGCGTTGACAAGCTGTTCTAGTTTGTACTGTATTAATACACAATAACAATTAACAACACAACATATTAACCCACAGTTCTCACACTGTAAATAGTGGAATGAGTGAAATAAGTGTGCTTACTAAGTTACTTGTACTGACCTCTCAACGCTTCTCATTACAGTAGTTCCCTCAGCTCTGTGATCAATATCTGTTTGCTATGGAAAAGGAACATAAGTAGATAAGCTACAAATCTTACTATTTACAGCCTAGCTCCGCAGCAAATTTACCAGCTAAGGGCAGAGGAGTATACTGTACAGTGCAGTGCGTGTTACATCTGCTGGGTGTACTGCTGGTGTACAGACCAACCTAAAGTCTGTTAATGTTACAGTTGCTGGATACATCTCTCCTGTATCTAATTGAGGGTAATAGATGTGAAGAAGGTGCTGATATACTGGCACTCTCTCCTCGTAGGTGTTATAACGCACACTGCACACTTATTGTAGGTGCTAACTGTTAATATACAGTCAACTGGTCAATGCTAGCAGGAAGAGAGTAAAGAGAAATAACTGACCGTATAAAAACCAATGGGGTAAACATTTTTTTTTTTTTTTTTTGATTTCTCTTGGAGAATTTCTCTTTACACTCTTAACTTGCGAACAAATTGAAGCAGCAGACTTTAAGCTAGAAACTTTATTGAATAGAAATAATCATTCCACGTAACTACGTCTTCTTCAGTTCTCAAATTATTTGTTATATAGTAGTGTTGAAAGTATTAAAAACAGTTTTAATACTTTCAACACTACTATATAACAAATAATTTGAGAACTGAAGAAGACGTAGTTACGTGGAATGATTATTTCTATTCAATAAAGTTTCTAGCTTAAAGTCTGCTGCTTCAATTTGTTCGCAAGTTAAGAGTGTAAAGAGAAATTCTCCAAGAGAAATCAAGTTCAAATGCGACTCATAAATATAGCCCCCTTGAACTATTTAAATATTATTTGCGCGCGAATTTAAGAATTTGAAATTTATTTCGCAGAATTTTAGAATCATAGTATTTATTGTGAACTTCTGAATACAATTAATGTGAACTCCTGAGCACAATTTGTGTAAAAAGCAGACTTTCGCACTGTAACCATAGTAATTGTTCAACTCATGTAGTTGTGAGCGTAAAATACACAGTGTTAATTGCTAATGTAAATTGTTTTTACCAGCTTGGGAAATGAGATTACTCAGCACCAACGTCCAACTAGCGCACAGAACCAATGCTGTGCGCTGATTGGTTAGTTGCTGTCACGTGTTGTGGATGCTGTGCTCTGATTGGTTAATATTACTAAGTTAGAGCAGCTGGTATAGGTTGTCTGGTATCGGACTATGAGACGGAAAAGAAAAGATATTTAACTATAATATAAAGAAAATAAAAAGGCATCAAAAAAGCTCATTTCGTATAATAACAATTACTTTTATAAAAAAATTACTTAAACTATTAAGTGACCGGGTAAAGGGAAATTTGCAAAAGAAGATTATGCCTGTACGATTTCCCCTATTGAAATGAACAGGATCCTATTGTAACGTATACTTACGCCAGACAGGCAAATAGATTAGCTGCAACTACAAAAGCTATGATTAACTATGATCACAATATACAATACTATGTCCCCTAAAACACTTAGTATTATAAAGGAGTATTATAAAAGATTAATATGTTTAAACGTTTAAACAGTTGATTAATGACATAGATAGTAAGCTCCCCTCTCTCTATCTCTCTCTCTCTCTCTCTCTCTCTCTCTCTCTCTCTCTCTCTCTCTCTCTCTCTCTCTCTCTCTCTCTCTCTCTCTCTCTCTCTCTCTCTCTCTCTCTCTCCGTCTACTTGAGCTGCTACTAAGCTACTCTCAGACATCTTTATAGTATCTGTATAATTGGTGTCGCTGACTAGTCACATTGTATCTGGATAGAACATGTTTTTAGTAGTGTGCTCCCTCTAATACACGTGATGCCCATATAAGGAGATGTAGAGACACGTGCTCCGGGCTCCCTCTACTACTACAGTTTTAGTGTTTTCTGTAGAGCATTTCAATTTGAGTTGTCCTCTGCATACTCTCGGTGTTAAGGGGGGGTTCACTCTGATTTTTTGTGAAACTTGGCCTAACTCAAAATTCCATATTAAAACTTAAGGTTGAAATGCGATTATACGTTGATTCTGAAAATTGCATGTAAAAATATTGAAACCCTATTGAGTTCTATTGTTTTGAGCGAAATCAGTTTCGCAAATATCGCGAACTGAGATATGGCCATGGGCGATTTTGTTCATTTTTTGTGATTATTTGAACACAGAATCCACACTCCACAGTTAGCTAAATACTGAGCTGATAATCATAGAGAATGTGTAGTATAAGCTTACCTTCCATATAAAGTTGGTTTCATTCAAAATTATTGATATTTGACCAATTTATGGGCCAAAATTGATCAAATTTGGTGCGTAGGCCCAAAAATGGGCATATGGTTTTTGGCATATAACTCAGTCAGTTTTTGTCCAATCAGTCAGCTTTTGTCCAATCTTGATGAAAATTCATATACGAGTTCAGGGGACCACTAAAATCTGGGTTTTGGGCATGTTCAGGGTATTTGGCTAAATTGGGCCTAATTTGGACCAAATTTGGGCGTGGCTGCCCCGCGGGCACCGTTTGGCGGTTGGGGTCCGGGACCCGCTCAAAAGTTCGTTCACCGGTCTTAGTTTGTTGGTCTCGAAACCAAGTTTCACAAAAAAATCAGGGTGAACCCCTTTAACATAACATTTGCTTGAACTGTGAATTAAATGATTGCTTTGCTGTTGTTTTGTTCTATAAATCACATAGGATTTCTAAGAACAAATGAAACACAGGTTTGCTATGCTGGGGACTACGAACCCCGTTCAGCCCTGATCATATAGTGCAAGTATTATAATTACATTACAGGTATTTCTTGTAGTGACAATGAAGACTAAAACTTTGTTTTTGTTTAAATAGATTTATTTAATAATCAATAGGTTTACTAAAGTACTGATTATCTGTACGGGTCAGTGTTTTTTCTCAGTTCAGTAAAGTAAAAAGCAATCCGCCAGATCTTGATAACTTAAATACGCTGTGTTTTACTTTAATTAAGTAAGGTTCCAACTATCTTACAGCACTTTAGACCCCAGAACCTGGTGTTCTTCCAGATAGAAGCTGCTCCGTACCCCTCTCTACACTGGACTGTGAGGGTAACACTGCTCATCCCGTAACAGTGTCCCAACTTTAGACCACAGCTCGCTGGTTTACAATACTGTCCTGCATTTAATCCTGGCGAACCATCGGATCCGTCCCTTCCCGGTTTGCCTTTCAGTACAGAAAGTCCAGCAAATCCAGGAACTCCATCACTACCAGGCAATCCCATCTCTCCATTTTCTCCTGTTTCTCCTTCATTCCCAGTTGCTCCCTTCTCCCCGTCAGAACCATTATTACCAGGTTCACCAGGTTCTCCTACAGACGAGCAGATATCAAATGAACATAAGTCGTTGGTTCCTTGAGCCCCTTGATCTCCTTGCTCTCCTTCCACTCCATCTTCTCCTGTCACTCCTTGTTCTCCTTGTGGTCCCTCCTCTCCTGAAATGAAAAACGATTGCCTCTTATTTAGACTCTAGTATTAGAGTGTACTGTGTAGTGCACACTCAACTACACTCTGCTACTCACATATGTGTTTATATTGGATATTATCCAACTATCAGTGTTTATAATCCCTCTTACTTGTTACGTTATTCAAGCTGAAAAGTTTACCCTAATATATTTAAACCTTTAAATACAGGAAACACGCGAGTTTTTCATTTTACTTACTTTAGGTTCCGATCTAAACTCCAATAGTCTATTAAATGGTCTACTAAATATTCTACATATAATATTATATAATATTATATGTATATCATATACAATATATTCTATTTATTATTATATAATATACAAAGAATGTTATTTATTTATTCTACACCAACAAAGAATGGGAACTCTTTACTAACCTCTAACAGGTTTGATTGAAGAAACCTTGTCATTAAATAGATAAAAAACATCCGTCCAGCCCAGGGGTCCAGTAGCAGTGAACAGTAACCCCTCATAGTTGGGCTTATCATAGAACTCCCACTCTTCATCCCCCTCTATCATGTAGGAAGACATTATGTTATCGAACGCACTCATCAAGGCTAGTTTCCAAGCAGCATCTGTAATTACCACTGTACGTCCTCTGGCGTTATAATGTTCAGACAATGTTACTTTACCTGGGTGGGAGTAGACGTAAGTAGCAGAAATACTACTACACTACTACACTACTACACTACTACACTACTACACTACTACACTACTACACTACTACACTACTACACTACTACACTACTACACTACTACACTACTACACTACTACACTACTACACTACTACACTACTACACTACTACACTACTACACTACTACACTACTACACTACTACACTACTACACTACTACACTACTACACTACTACACTACTACACTACTACACTACTACACTACTACACTACTACACTACTACACTACTACACTACTACACTACTACACTACTACACTACTACACTACTACACTACTACACTACTACACTACTACACTACTACACTACTACACTACTACACTACCTATCTCTCCTGATAATACCCCCAGTAACGTACTGAGCAGAAAGAGCAACATTTGAAAAACGAAGACGAAATAATGGAAAGAAAACGTATATATATATTCTATAACTTGTCTTAGAAAGATGGAATTGTGTTAGAATTTAATCCTCGGAAAAGGCAATGAAATAGATGATCATCTTAAATTTTGTCTTATCAGTAAAGTTTATCATCAAATTATCACGGTTACCTTGGAGCCGGTTCTACTAAATAAGAAGAAATATATAGAAAGATACAATTTCTGAAAGAGCCTTGAGAGTATGGAATAGCTTGAATCGATGGATTAAAGGAAACTGATCGCTTGTTTGGAGTAAGAACTCCTGAGCATCGAGATTTGTCGACAAAAACTGTTTTAAAGGGCAACTGTAAAAATACGAGTCACGTGAGCGAGCAACCTACGAGATTGAATTATGATTTAATCAGCGCACTCCCTGCAAGATATTTTCCTTTAGAGCTACTGGAGGTTCGATTAGGGGTCGTTCACATATTACGTAATCACTTTTTGGCCAATTTTAACCCTCCTCCGTAATCATTTTTACCTATAGCTATTATGTCAAAGTTACACTAGCGTGATCATTAGGAAACCCCGTGGAACAAAAACCGACTGTCTGAAGAGCTGTTACAATTATTTGTAGCCAGGCCCAACCCATGTACTTGTAGTTAAACTTTAGCCTCATACCAGTGCTCTATCTATTCTAAAATTCCTTCGATTTCTGTTGAAGAGTATGGGTGCAGTATAATAGAGTTTCCTAGTGTGATCTTGTTATCAGTAGAAGTGAGAAGTCTGGATGTACAAGTTGTATCCTTAATCTTTAAAGATAACGCATGTTCAAGGAAATCCATGAGACAAGATAACTATACAAATAATAAGCAACACACGCAGCACGGGATTGGTCGGTCTAGCGTCACGTGACGTTGGTCAGCTAATCACGCGACATTGGTCTGGTTACCTTTATCTTTATTTCTTAGGTCCATTATTGGTAGTATGCCCTTAAAAAGTCAGAATTGTGCGGTAGCTTTTTGTTTACCATCGCCTGTCTGTGCTTCGGACGATCTCTTCGCGTCCTTCTTGTCTGTTGAGCTTCATTTTCCCGTGTTTCTGCAGCTGTTAACTGTGATAGGCAAGCCAATTTACACTTTCTTGTCATCCAAACCAAAACATGTGAACACGAGTCAAAAAAATTAGGTCTTGACCCTAATCCAGTGATCCACGAGGCTGTGACGGAATCCAAGACTCTGATCCAGTGAGCCATTTCCCCGTGAGGCCCGGTATGGAATGTTTTTACTGTATTGAATTCTTGTATTTCCGCTTTATGTGCTTTATTTAGGCGCTTGCCAGTTTCTATTTGTGGAGGTTCTAATCTATAAATCCTTTTTAACAACTTTACTTAGCATGACTACATAATTTCAATAACTATGCATATATTTAAAAGTATGAAAATAACCGAAGATTCTGTAAATATAATAAATACAGACAGGTGGTCAAGCAATGACAATAGTTGATAAATAAAAACATTACCGGTATACAATAATATGTACCCCAACATACCATTGTTACCAAGTAACCATGACAACCGGGCCTCATCTCACTACATGATACCTATCATCATTATAGTTTACCTTCCTACAATGTTGTGTTGTCTCTTAAGCAGTAGTCGTTAGCTCAGCTTCCTCTCTCATTATCCCATATTAGGGAATATTGCCGGGTGATTATTCCATATAAGGAGTTATTACGTCCCCCGTGGTGTTTTGCCCTTATTTAAACCCCTGTACTGACTTATTGGGTCTTTTTTCTGCGCTTTTAATAAAATGTGTTAAAATTATATTCGCTCGAATTTTCACTTTATTTTAGTGTTTAACAATGCTGGTCCCCACTTGGCCCGGGTAGTCTGGGTTTAAAGTACTAGTTGGTGGGAAGGGGGGAGGGGGATAGAGGGAGGGGGAGAGGGGGCGTGGGGGGGGGGGGGGACAGAGGAGGGGGGTTAAGGTGGACAAATGAGAGGGGTTAAGGTGGACAGATGAGGGGGAAGGGGTACCAGTTCTGAAGAATCTGTAGATTGTTGGTATGCACAGGATAGTAGACATATCATGATAATAACCATTACACATCATCTACTAGTTTATCACGTGCTTCTTTATCTTAACCACTTTGTTCTCTTGATATCTAATCAGCTTTCTACTCACATCTTGTCATGATTATACTACTTAATAATTGTAATTACTGAGTTGTTACACTGTTATTATAGTCGAGGTTTTGTTGCCAAGACAACAGTTCCTTCACACCAACTTTGATAGTCTTTAAAGTTATAGTACTTGGTTAAAGTTATAGTACTTGGTTGTTGTTCCCTTTGTTTCTTAGGATCTGTGTCTGTGGACAATTTGCACCATTCTGAACTTTAACCGTTTTATTGCTGTCAGCTTATCATTCCTATTAGTGTTCTTCATCCCTCTGATTGCAAATTGTGTGCCCTAATGCTAGTTTCTTTGTTCAATAATAACCGAGTAATGTTATTTTGCTGTGAATAATGCATGATTTTTAAGTGAGTTCATGATTATAATTTCCTTCAATTCTTATGAGTGTGGTGTTCTCTCCCGACGAACAACTTCATTGTGAAGATTAATATAATTTCCCATGCAAATTAAATGAAATTAATACTCGGTGTACCATTTGTAGGTAATAACACAAAACAGTTTCCTGATTTACCGGGAATGCCGATTTGCTGGGGTAATTTTCTTTCCACTTATAACACCGGTTTCTCCCAACAACCCCGGTTTCTCCCAACAACCCCGGTTTCACTCAAATGTCCTGATTATTGCGTTATTATTCTGACTCGCCCAAAGAAAGATAAGACTGTTGCTGTGATAGTTTTTATTCCGTTGTTAGTTGCGACCAGATTCTTCAACTAGAGTCCCCTCTCATAGATTATTATCAAAGGTTCAGGTTATTTAAGTTACTTCATTAAACTGGATCAAATAGTGTTTTGTTCTCCTCTACTGATAGATTAATTGGACAGAAAAGTTCTCACAATTATTGATCAGTAAACATCAGAACTACAAAACTACCTTCATATCTTAATATCCCCTCCCTTTAACATTCTCTTTATGCTTCACCATATCGTAAATGTTACGTGCTACCATTCATTTCGCTATTTTTACGTTACTTGAGACATAACAAGTAAATTTTACTGTATGAATCAGCTTTTATTTGATCTGAACAGAGTATTGTAGGCCATGAAATCTTACTAAACATACATAAGTTTAGTAAAGAAAATCCATGACCTAATGTTGTTTACTACGGTTTTTGTTCAAAGCAGCCTGCATACAAGTCTTTGTAATTTGATATGTGCGCTGCACATAGTGTGTAAAACTCAGTTGGTAATTAGCCATCAGCACCTGTCCATCGAGCTACAATTGTGCCTTAATTGTTTTACCTCCAGTTCCTCTCTCAACTGTCAGAAGTCTATTTCAAGCGAAACTTTTCAAATGCATTGTACGCTTTAGCCTGCTGACGAATACATATAAAGTCATAGCTTGTGTTGAAAGTTGATATTGAACAGGTTCCATAAAAACAGAGTTACCAGATGACATTTTAATAGATAAAGTATCCTAGCGTAAGACCTTTTGGCGCGCTTGAATCACATGCGCCGCGCGCTGTAAAGCATGGCTTTGCTGGTTGCTTGGTAACCAAGTTGTTATTATTGAATCAGATACCTTTCTCACATAATTGATAATATAATACCACTTTGTTTAACAGTCCGATGTAAGCAATACACTCACGAAACTTCTCTAGCATGAACAGTATTTAAAAAAAGTTTAAATCATTTAATATTTTCATTTTCCAATAGAGTTTATAGCTGCTAAAAACCCACAAGAAACACGCTAGAGCCAGAAATGTATAACTACCTTTTAACCGCCAGTAAATTTGTTTTGGAATCCAGTCTATTCAACATAAACCACTCCCAACAAGTTACATATGAAACAGTTTAAATAACAAACACGTGCAAATTAAAGATCTCAATTGAAGTCCAATCTCATCAAGCACTTCTTGACCACTCTCATTACAATTGAAGAGAAACTGTAACTAGATTTCATGTAGTACACCCTGAGCTAGCGTGCAAAGTTATTGTATTTCAGCATGTACTGGCAGAGTTTGAATTGTAATTCTGTTGTTAGATCGCACTGAATTGTGCGGTGGAAAGTTTTAACTCCCCACTTGGCTCCAGTTTTCGTGTTGTGTTTTAATCATTTGAGATTTACAATCTGGTTTGTTACAATTTGAACCTTAATTAGTCTTCAATCTGAGGTTTTAAGTGATAGGTTTCTCTTTTAAAATACAGTAGTCAGTTCTAATTGTTACAATCTGACCCCAGACCCCTGTCTTGACACGACAGTATATTGTAATAGAACGTGCTGTGGCTGGCCCCACTCAGTGGGGTATACGTTACTCTCAACCTACGTCTTCTTGATCTGTTTAATAGCTTCTGTTGAACTTAATATAATTCAATAAAAGGTTAATGTGGTGTATGATATTGATAACAGTAAGGATATTATGACGATAAACACGCACCGTATTGCTATTGACGGCTCGATCAAAATGCAGTTTAGGACGAGTGATTACCAATAAAAACTATCGCTGAATTTTACTCAGACCCATACTAAATTTCTCGGAAACATCAGAACTCCCCGAATGTCTGGTTCTTCCCCACGTCCCGCTCTTAGACCAGCTGTTTTATCAGAGTCCCAGGGTAGGTTACCGACCAGTACCATTACTCTCAAACTCTTTTAGTTACCATGACAACTGATATACTATACGTGGATACTGGATACACTATACGTTAAATACGTGTATCCTGATCTGATATCATCTGTGATTCTTCTTGACTGCTACATCTTGTTAACTTTACTATAAAAGAGACACGGATATATTGATAGCTAAATGTAAAGCAGGCACTGTTATTATTGCTGTTGCGTTACTATGGCAACTGTTACTATGGCAACTGACTGCATGTGAGCCTCTTTTCACCTGTCAAACCACAGTCTTGTTGAAAA